ATTCAAATTGAAGGAAAGGGCCGCCCTAATGGGGCTCACCGCAGGCGGAAGCCCGTTTAGAATTGCGCGCGAGCGCGCGCGGGGGGGGGGGGGTGCGTTTCGACCGCAGAGAGAACGCGTTTCGCAGGCGCTCGCCCTGGGAACATTCGGCGGCGCGCGTCGATACGGGGGGCGGGCCCCCCCCCAACGCTCGGCGCCGTCGATCAAAACCAGGGGGGGGGGCCCTCCTCCACAATTACTTAATATGAAGACTACTCTCCTCCTTCCCCTGATGACGGGTTGGGAAAGTTCGCCCCCCCCCCCTTCCCGCGCGTGTCGTGTGTGTGTGTGTGTGTGTGTGTGTGTGTGTGTGTGTGTGTGTGTGTGTGTGTGTGTGTGTGTGTGTGTGTGTGTGTGTTTTGTTCCCTCTTCCCCCGCGCTACCTAGGCTCTGCCTGGAAGGGTTCTTACTCGGTTAGCTTAAAGGGCCGGGCAATGGGGCTCGCCCCGGGCGGTTCCCCCGGCATCCGCCCCGCGGTTCCCCCGGTGGCGTTCCCTTAGCTGAGCGTTGCTTATCTCATCTTAGCTTAGCCTAGCTTAACTTAGCTTAGCTTAGCCTAGCCTAGCGCAGCTTAGTTTTAGCTTAGCTTAGCCTAGCCTAGCTTAGCTCAGCTCAACTCAGCGCTAGCATAGCATAGCATCGCATAGCAAAGCATAGCGCAAGATAGCATAGCGCAGCATAGCCTAGCATTTCATGTCACAGCATAGCATCGCGCCGCATAGCATAGCATAACACAACGCAACATAGCATAGCATAGCAAAGCTGAGGTGTAGATGTAGATGTAGATGTAGATGTGAGTCTCGCTGTTGATGTTGAAGTAGATGTAGATGCAGGTGTAGATGTTAATGTAGCTGTCGGTGTAGGTGTAGATGTTGCTTTCCTAGATGCTCCAACTCCTAGGTAGGGTCGCACTGGCATAATTTTCAAAATGCTGCTCTCGCTGAGGCGCCGGCATCATTTTCGGGACCCGCTCGTTCCGAACCGTGCTCCCGCTGCAACGCTGGCCACATTTCCGTGCTTCCGTTCGTTCCGAATCGTGCTCCCGCTGCAGCGTTGGCCTCATTTCCGCTCTTCCGCTCGTTCCGAATCGTGCTCCCGCTGCAGCGTTGGCGTCATTTTCCGTGCCATGCCACGGCATGCAATGTAATGCTAGGTTGCGTTCCGCTGCGCGATGCCATGCCTTCAGCTGCAGCTGTGATATGCAGTGATTAAGTGCCACGCCGTGCTATGCCATGCTACGCTTTGCTCTTCAACGCCATGCTATGCAATGTTATGTTCGGGGCCGCTGTGCGATGCCATGCTTTGCGTTGCAAAGCTTTGTAATGCAATTCTTCACTACGCCACGCCACGCCATGCTGTGACATACTACGCTTTGCGGTGCTCTTCTACGCCACGCCGCGCCGTGCTCTACAATGCATCGCGTACCCTTTCGGGATCCTTGCCCTGCTTGACATCCGACTGTGCGAGTAGAGAGGGGATCTACGTCATGGTAAGGGATGGGAGGGAGGGGTAGGATGTCAGATATGACGCGAACGCACTTAGCTTGCCAAACCCCCTCCCTCCCGACCCCCCCCCCGCCCCACCCCTCCCAAGGGGGGGGGTTCAACCCTCCCCCCCTGGCGCTGGCGCCAGCGCTGGCTGGCAGCCGTCAGCAGCGCCGTCGGCGGGGACGCAGCAACGATGACCAGAGGCAGCCCAAGGGGGGGGAGGTTTGACCCCCCCCGGGCTCCAAGGGGGGGAGGGGTTCAACCCCCCCCCCCTGGCGCCGGCGCCGGCGCTGGCGGCGGCCACAAGCGCCGACGCTGGTGACGGCGGGGACGCAGCCAGGATTACCACCACTACCACCGCCGCCACCACTACCACCACCACCACCACCACCAACACCAACCCACCACACAACCACCACCACCACCACCAAAAAAACCCACCACCACCACAACCACCACCACAACTCACCATCACCACCAACACCACCACCACAAAAACCCCCCACCACTACCATCACCACCCCAATCTACCGCACCACCACCACCACCACCTCCACAGCCACCACCACTACTAGCAGCACAACCAGCAGCACAACCAGCCGCCACCACCACAAACCACCACGTCCACAAACCACCGCCACAACCCACCACCACCACCACAAACCATGACCACATCCTTGTTCCTTATTAGAACATACCCCCACCTACCTCGTATTCCGGCCGATAGCGGCCCAATCCGGGACCTCCCATCCGGACTGTAAAAAATCAGTACAAAGTGGCCGTTTGTCTTCTCAACACCGTTTTTTCTTGTCGTCGATGCGAAAAGCGTGGCAGGAATGGGACGCGGCGCACATCGCGCGCGGCAGTCAATCTGGGCCCGCCCATCCTGAGTGTAAAAAATTAATGCTAAGTCTTCGCTGTTTCATCTCACCATGGCCTGCCTTGTCGCCGACGGTGCGAAATATGCGGCAACAGTGGGACGCGGCGCACATATGGGACGCGGCGCACATCGCGCGCGGCCGTCGATCCGGGCCCGCCCATCCTGACTTTAAAAAATCAATACAAAGTCTCCGTTTTTTTCCTCCCAACATGGCCTGCCTTGTCGCCGACGGTGCGAAACATGTGGCACGAATGGGACGCGGCGCGCATCGCGCGCGGACGTCCATGCGGGCTACGGGCCCGCCCATCCTGATTGTAAAAAACAATACAGAGTTGCCGTTTTTCCTTTCATCATGGTCTGCCTTGTCGTCGACGACGCGAAATGCGTGGCAGGAATGGGGCGCGGCGCACATCGCGCGCGGACTTCTGGGGCAACCCCAAGGCGGGAGGGGCCACCCTACTTGTCAGAAGCAATGCCATGCTGATTTTCGCTTGCCCACATAGCTGTTCTTGTCGTCCACCCCGCAAAAATGCATGGCAAGAATTGGGCGCGGCACCCCCCCCCCCGCTCGAAGTGTCGTCGACGTTGCGGAATTCGTGGCGGGAATGGGACGCGGCGCACATCCCGCGCGGACGTCAATGCGGTGTCCTGGGGTATCCTCCACTCGCACTGACATGCCCGCGCAACCCCCAGTTGTGCCATCACTGTTTCTTATGTTGTGGGAGGGTGGGTGGGAATGGGCATGCTATGCTTGACTCGCTCGAGCTGGCTAGCTTGACCACCACCACACCACCACAACCACCACCACCACAACTCACCATCACCACCACCACCACCACCACCACAAAAACCCACCACCAGTACAACCATCACCATAATCTACCACACCACAACCACCACCGCCACAACCACCACCACTACTAGCAGCACGACCCACCGCCACCACCACAAACCACCACCACACCAGCACCACCACCACCGCTACCACCACCACCGCCACCACCACCTCCACAAACCACCGCACCACCACAACCCACCACCACCACAAACCACCACATCATCACCAAACCACCACCACCACAACAACCCACCACCACCACCACCACGAACCACCACCACCACCAAACCACCACCACCACCACCACCCATCACCACAACCACCACCACCACAACAAACCACCACACCACCACCACATCCACCACCACTGCCACCACCACCATCACAACCCACCACCACCACCACCACCACCGTCGTCCTCGTCAACGCTCCCCGCCGCCGCCGCCCGCCGCCGCAGGCGCCGGCGCCGGCCCACAAAAGGAAATCGTCGTCCCCGCCGCCGCCAGCCGCCGCCGACGCAAGCGTTGTCCCGAGGAGAGGGGAAGCAGGAAAGGAAGGCAGGGGGGGGTCCAGTTTCATCCCCCCCCCTTCCAAGCGACCACAGAACGCGCTCTTTCCGACAGCACGTCCGCTGATGCGGATGGGGTTGGGAGCAGAAGCTTTCATTCGTCTTTCGGGTGCTGTTGGGGCTGTGCCGTGGCGTCAGTAGAATTACTTCCAAGCTTGTAGTTTGCATCACATACTTTGCACCATGTAGCTTGCACCACGCGCATTGCAACGCGGCGTGTTGCGCATAGCGAGCACATCCAGAGTGCAAGAGCTCACTGCTTCGGGTCCACGCTGGCAAACATGTATCATGTGGTTTGATGTAGTATAACCCAGTGAGTTGTTCAGTGTTCGGAGGTATATTATGTCAACGATATCTGTTTGAACAGCTTTTCACCCCTGCACCGAGAAACGACAATACAATGTTGGAATCACTGGCGCTGCGACTGGTCGGGGTGAGACTGCGGCGTAGGCTGTGGCATCAGCCGTGCTGATATCTGAACTCCATGTCGTGGTACTCGGAGTTCTCGTCCTTCTTCTTAGCAGGCTTGCGGTTGTTCCACCTCGCGGGGGAGGGCAACGCTCGCGACAAAAGCGGCCAACGGACCAACACAACCGACGTCGCACATGGACGAAGAGAAGGAGAGTGTTGCTGGCGCGTCGCGGCGGAGCAAGCGCCGGCTGGGGCCCGAGCCGCGAGCACTTCGCACCGCGACTAAGCTTTTGACATGGGCCTTGCCCTGGAGAGCGAGTTGCACGCCAGGGGAAAATTACATCGCCAGAACACCTGGCGACCGCGACTGACACGGGCAGCCTGACCGAGGGAAGCCTCGCCCCCGCGGAGAGAGGAGGAGGGACAGGAACACAACGGGGAGCTGAAGACGGGAGGGGGGCACTTTCTGCCTTTCACGCTCCTGTTCTTCCCACCTCCTTGACCTCCTCCTCGACCTCCTCCTCCTCCTCCTCCCCCTAAACCACCTCCTCCTCCTCCGCCTCCTCCTCCTCCTGCTCCGCCTCTCTCCTCCTCCTGCTCCGCCTCCCTCCTTATCCGACTCGTTTTCCTCGCGCGTCCGCCTCCGCACACCAATCCCTCGTTTCCTCGTCCTCTTCCTCCTCCTCCTCCTTCCCATCTAGTCTTGCCCCCCATGTAGGTCCTCAGAGGGGCACTACAGTCAATGACTTCGCTCTTGCTCGCGCCACCTCTCCGTCTTCACCTCCTCCCTAGACCCGTCGCGCAGCAGGACGGTGTACTCCTCCAGGACGTGGGCCGCGCGCCCTCCCCACTGGAGGGTCGAGAGAGCCCCGCTGGCAGCCCTACGTGCAGGATGAGGACACATCGGAAGAGCAGGACCAGGAGGAGGAGGAGGAGGAGGCGGAGGAGGAGGAGGGAGGAGAGGAAGACGAGGAGGAAGGGAAGAAAAGCAGGAGGAGGGCAGGCGACCAGTGTAAACCCAAGACTCATCAACGATGTTGAAGTAAACCCTCCCTCCAGGCTGCATCTCCATAGGCCCCTACAAAGAGCCATTTCCACTGAAGGAGGTGCACCGTTGGGAGGCAACTGTTTGAAGACCGTGAAACGCGCCAAAACACGCTTCTCGGGACTCCAACACCAAGAATCAGCCTGCCTGTTGCATTTTGACGATCCTGAGTGGTGCCAGGACACCCTTCCTGGGACTCTACCGCAGCAGTCAACGTAATGTTTGCCTTTGATTCCCTGAATCCTTTAAGAACTATATCTGGTATAGCCATGAGAACCAATGGGATTCTTACGAACGCGCGCGGCGTTGAGGCGAGAACCACACTTTGAAGAACAACGCTCCCAATCCGTGAAACGCTTGCAACGTTTAAAGCGAATGCGCGCGGCGCTAGGAAGAGAACCGCATCTTGAAAACCACCCGCCCTCAATCCGTGATGCTCTTGCACATGTTTGGGACGAGTGCGCGCGGCGCTAAGGCAAGAGCAGAGCGTTGAAAACCGCCCGCCCCGAATCGATGGAACAATTGCACATGTGTCTGAAAAAGTGTGCGCGGCGCGAAAGCTAAAGCCACATGTTGAAAGCCAACCGCCTTCCTGTTGCGAAACTGTTGCGAGGAGGAGGAGAAGGAGAAGGAGGAGGAGGAGGAGGAGGAGAAGGAGGAGAAGGAGGAGGAGGAGGAGGAGGAGGAAGAGGAGGAGTACAGGAGCGTGGGGACGCCGTCCGTCCAGCGAACAGCGCTCCGCGGGCCCTACAGAGAGGGCGAAAATCAGGCCGAGCGACCCCTCGTCGCTCCGCCGCCTGCGCCTCCGCGCCGCCCGCCCAAGGCGGGGCGGGCCGCGCCGCAACCGGGGGCGCCGCCGCCCAGCCCTCCTCGCCGTGGCGGGGGGGGGAGGAACTGGGCGGCGGAAGCGAGGAGGCCCGCGCGCTGGACCCTGCCACCTCCTCCTCGCTGCCGGGCACCACGGCGCCCGCGGGCGGCCACGCCGCAGCGCCAGCGGCGCGAGGCTGGGCCACGGCCGCCTCCCCCGCAGGGTCGCCGCACCCCGCTGGCCGCCAGAGCCCGAGCCGGCAGCGGCCGCGCTAGCGCCCTGCGCCCGCGGCCGCTTGCGCTCGCCAGGCGCCCAGCCGATCCTCGGCTCGCCAGGGCCACGCCCAGGGTCGGCCAGCCACCGACAGAGGACGTCCGCCTCCTACCTCCGCATGGAGTCGGCCACCCACGCCTGGGAGAAGGACAAGCCGCGGCGGTGCCGCATGTACGCCCTGCGGTTGACCCCGCCGCTGGTCCATGCACTGTCGCCTCGCGGGCCAGATGCGCCGCGGTGCGATCCGTGACGCGCGCGAACGCACGCCACCTCGGCTTGCCCAGGACGGTCTCGACGTAGGGCACGCAGCGCTGCGCCCAGTCGTCCGCCATCTGCGCCTCCGTGCGGGCGGCCTCGATCCACCTGCGCGCCCACCTCGCGAGCCTCCGCGCCGTGGCAGTGGGCCTGGGAGGACCCCTCGGCAGCGGCTCCCTGGGCTGCCTTTTTGCCATCACCACTACGGGCCTGTGGCTCCAGATGGCGAAGCGCGCCGCAGGCCAAGGCCTCGGCCTGCCATGCAGTTGGAGCTCCGCGCAGCGCACCTGCACTCGGGCGAACAGCTCCGTGCGTCGCTCCCTCCAGCTCCCGGCGCTCGGGCCTGGCCGCTCAAGGTCCAAGAACAATCTCGAGGTTTTTGTTGACGGGGGGGCTCTTGAGAACCGCTCCTTGATCCGTGGCCACCGCGGCTGGCCTCGCGCCCCTCAATGCGCTGCCGCAGCTGCGCGAGGCGCGCCTGCCACGGGTTGGCCGCAAAGCCCCTCCGCTGCCGCGCGCGGCCGCCGCCGCCAGCGGCCTGCTAGCCTCGCGCGCGTGCGCCGAGGCCGACGGCCGAGGCGGCGTCGGCGGCGGCGGGTGCACAGCGCCAGGCAGCGCCACCTGCACCACCTCGCCCCCGCGCCGCGCAGCAGCGTCCACAGACCCCGCCATACTTTCCAACTCCTGCGGCCTGCCGACCGCGCTGCCGCTGCCGCCACACTCGCCGCCGGTCGATACGTCTTCGGACTCCACCAGCACGCGCCCGCTGCCATGCCGCGCATACCTCGCAGAAGACCATGGGCCCAACGCGCCGCAACCGATGGCCCTCGTGGGCGAGCATGCCCCCCTCGGCGTCGCGCCTCGGTTTGCCGCGCGCCAGCATCGGGTCGCCCCCGTCGCCCCCGTCGCCCCATCGGGCCGTGGCCGCCCGAGCTCCCGCCTCCGAGACCGCGGCCGCCTGGGCCCCGAAGTGGAGGATCCCGGCTCCTGCCTTGATGTGCGCCAGCCTCGACGGCCACCCACGGCGACCACCGCGTGCTCCACCACCGTCACGCGTGGAGCTGGCCCTGCAGGTGGCGGCGGCGCCGCCCTCGCAGCCTGCTGCCACGCGCAAAGCTGGAGGCATGCCTTCGATCCACCGCCTGAGTTCCAGCCAATAAGATCAAGCCAAAGTTAATTAGGAGTTTCCACCACCACCTCCTCCAGCCTGTCCCTCGTGCATGACTGAGGGTTACACCCTAATAGACGAAGTTGTTGCGGCTGTGCCATCGACGCCCTCAGAGGGGCCTAAACAACTGGGGCATGCTCGGCCCCTTCACGATGTACTGCGAGAGAATCTAGCTGCCCCTGGAATGGTCGGCTCGATAAGAAAGGGGCTAGGAGGAGGAGGAGGAGGAGGAGGAGGAGGAGGAGGAGGAGGACGACGATTTTCACAGTCGACGCCTGCTTGAGCCCCTCTTCAGGGGGCCATCCCTCCCAAGTCTCAAGCCTCAAGCCCAAGGAGGGAGAACAGAACTGCCGTCCTTCCTCCTTTTATGCTGCTGCGGGTGCCCGCCCTGGAGGAAACACTTCCAGGCTGCATGCCTGGCGCAAGGAGGCGTGGCTGGAAGGGGTCTTCGCTCGCGCCGCCCTGGTCGGTCCAAGGCTGCCCCCGTGCGGCAGCACGGTGCGCGGCGGAGGAGCCGACCGTGCGACAGCTGCAAGAGCGGCGTCCGGAGGCAAGCGGCACAGCGGGCGGGGGCGCAAGAGCGAAGCCCACGGCGGGGCGCCCGGGCAGAAAGCCCGGCCGCTCGGGTGCGGATCGTGCCGGGTTCTTGAGTAACTACGAAGCAATCGGGACCGAACCCACCGCGTCCTCCGAGGGTAGTCAGGGCTGGCTGCATCATGTGCTACGGTGTTGCTGTCATGTGTAATGTGTCTTGCTGGTCCACAAATGTATTTCTGTCGTCGCGAAGCGAAACAAAACAATTGTGTTGCCTTGCGCGTTTTGCAGGTGTGTACCACTATAAGCGGTCCTCACGCATACTTGTGGTGAAGTAGGTCTTGCGGAATGTCTGCAGCGCCGCGCGTGGCTTGCCCAAGATCGGGGTTGACGTTGAAGGCACCTCTCATGCTAAGCTCAAGAGAGTGCGCGTTGCAACTTGGGCATGACTTACATTGCCGGCCGTCCAAACGCCAAACTCGTTTTCTTTTCGGGGCGCAGTTCTACACGTTCAAGGAAAAATTTCACGACGAACCCCACACATATTCACCTATACTCACTCTTGCGAAGAAGCCAACCGTTTTTCAGAACGCAATTCGTATGCGACGCACGCCAGTACATCGAGTGTGAATGCGGACTCTGCCACAGCAACCTTCGGTGCACCCCCCCTGGAGGCCACGAACCGCGCGAAGACTGCGCTGACATGGTCCGGGCGGCGGCGCGCGGCCTGTGCTACGTGGGCCTTCGGTGGAGCTCCCCATGACTCCGCGAACCGCATGAAGAAAAAACTGCAATGGTTTGGGCGGCTGCAGGCGACATGTGCTTCAAAACCAATGTGGTGACGTTCTCTGTGGGGCCGCGAACCGTATCAGGGCGTGCTGACATAGTCCAAATAGCGCAAAGCGGCCTGCGCCGCAAAAGCCTTCGGCGGGGCGCCGCATGGGACCCCGAACTGCAAGAACTATAAACTGAAATAGTCTGGCCAGCGGCATGCGGCCTGCACCGGGACAAAGAATTTCGGCCGAGCTCCCTATGGGGCACCGAACTGCGTGAGGGGGGGTGCTGGATTGGATTGAGCGGCGGCAAGCAGCCAGCGCGACAGAAGCCTTCGGCGTTGCATCCTGTGGGGCCACGAGCCGCGTGAGAGTGCGCCGCAATACTGTCGGTGGCGACGTGCGGCGCGCGCATCACAAGCCTTCGGTGTAAACCTCCACGAGGCCGCGGCGCGCGCAAGAATTGCGTTGAACATGTCTGCTGGTCGGCAGCCGAACCTCCTATGGCGCCACGAACGGGGCGAATAAAGACCTGAAGCGGTCTGGGCGGCGGCATGCGGCCCGCGCTACCAGAAGCTTCGGCGGGGCCCCCTTCGGGGCCACGAGCCGCGTGAATAAAGAACTCGGGTGGGCTGGGCGGCGACGGGCGGCCTGCGCTACAAAGACCTTCGGTGGAACTCCCAATGGGGCCGCGAACTTTGCGAGGGGGGAACTGGAATTGTCTGGGCGTTGGCAAGTGGCCTGCGCTTCAAAGGCCTTCGGAATGCTATCCGATGGGGCCGCGAATCGAGCGAGGGGCCCGCTGACGTGGTCTGGACGGGCGGTGCGCATCCTTTGCTACGAGAATGTTCGGCGCAACGCCCTTTCAGGAGCCGCGAACCGCGCGGGGTGCGCGCTGAATTGGCATCGGGCAGAAGGGAGCGGCCCTTGCTACAGGGGCCGTCGGCGGAGCCCTATGGGGCCACGAATCGTTCGAGAGGTGCGCGGAAACTGCATTGGCGGATACTCCTAAGCGAAGACCGACCACACAGGAGAGAAGAGGATAGATGATGACGGACTGAAGCGGTCTGGAGGAGGAGGCGGTGGTAGAGGAGGGGGAAGGCAGGAGATGAGGCGCTCAGCGCTCCGGGCTCCCAACGAAGACCCAACGGACAGGAGGATTGAGAAAAAACTACGGCCTCCAAAAGTTCCTTCACACTACTCTTCGATTGGTTAAAATGCCTCCGCGTCGTTCCCACGGCGTGCGAACGACGGCGCGAAGGCAAACGGAGTCCGCTGCAATGCAATCCCAGGGCTTCCAAAACGGCCCATCGATCCCCATTGGGCGCCAGAGAGCCGCCAAGTCGCCAAGATGCCCACCGAAAGAAAAACACGAAATCCTAACATGGCACTGCTACAAGACTTCAAAACAGCTCCAGGACGGCCCACTGCAGGCCCCGCTCAGGCTCCACAAGCTCATTCTCGCGCACCCAGTGTGGCGTAATCTGGAGGCAACATACTCCCCCGCCCACACCCCGAACGACACGACAACTCTGGGACCCAAACAGCACTTTGGATCCCCAGTCGCAACAGAATCGAAGGCCCCAGGGGGCCCTGCCGAGCCCGTGCCAGGCCCCCCAGACATGTCCAAAACCACTGCCGAGGGGAGTCCGGACCCACCGCCGCGGGAGCGCCCATGGGGGCCGCGGTGGGTTCGGACTCCCCTCGGCAGTCTTCTCAGACGTGGCAAAAAACGATGCCGAGGGGAGTCCGGACCCACCGCGGGGGGGGGAGTCCGGACCCACCGCGGGCCCATGGGGGCCCTCGCGGAGCCTCCAATGGGCTCCCCCGCAAGCCCTCTGGCCCCCACCCCCAACCCTGCCCGCCGCCCCCGTCTCTGCCCCTCCCCCCCTCACTTCTGCTCCTAAGCCTCCCTCGTTGATCCCTCCCCCAGCGCCGTCCGCCCACAGTGTCAGTTCCGAGCCTCGCCAGAATAGAATGCAACTGGGAGATACTGCTCGCTCAAAGGCTGGAAACAGCGTAGTCTGAGCGCCAATCATTGGAGGCGCCCCTCGCCCGCATCATCCTTCCAATAATGACCTTGGTCGTCGCTCCTGCCCATCGTGCTGGCCCATTTGCCCGCATCTTCCCTTTGCCCCTCCGAGACAAAATAAACCCTGCGAAAAGCCAACCATGTCTGAACGCAGTGCGAAAAATAGACAAGACCGCCCGACACGCGCGACTCCGCATGCGAAATCTACCACAAGGGCCTTCGGTGGAGCCCCCCACGAAACCACCGACCGCGCGAAGACTGCGACGAAGTGGCATGGGCGGCGGCGAGCAGCCTGCGCCACAGCATTATCCGGTGGAACTCCGCATGGGCCCACGGACCGCGAGAGGCAACGCTGAATTGGCTGGGGGCGGCGGCGTGCGGCCTGCGCTCCAAATTTGGCTACTGAGCACGTGAGCAATGTTGCTGAAATGGTCTGTACGGCGCAATGCGGCACGCGCCGCAAATTCTTTCGGCGGGGTTCCATATGGGGCCACGAAGTGCGAGGGGCGCGTGCTCAATGGTCTGGGCGGCGGCGTGCGTTTTGTGCCTGAAAACGTTTCAATGGAGTTTCCGAGTGCGGCCGCAGATCGCGTGAGGACAGCTGAAGTGGTCTGGGCGGCGGCGCGCGGCCTGCGACGCAAGCGTCTTCGGCGGAACCCTTTTAACGGCGCCACGAAACACATGACAACCGATCTGAAATAGTCTTGGCGGCAACATGCGCCCTGTGCGACAAAACCCTTGGGGGGCTGCGTATGGGGCCGCGAACCGTTCGATGGGCCTGTTGCAACGGTCTGCGCGGTGGCATGCGTCCGGTGGAAAAAATATGTAGACCTCCCCGGGGGTGCGCGAATCGTGTTCTGAATGGGCTGACATGGTCTGGGCGGTGGCCAGCGGCCTATGCCACAACGCATCAGGTGGTGCTCCCTATGGGGGCACGAATGGCGTGGCGGGCGAAACGAAATGGCCCGGGCGCGGCGCCCGGCCTGCGCCGCAGGGGTCGTCGATGGAATTCCAAGAATATGGAGCCGCGAACCGCGAGATGGGCGGCCTCAAATAATCTGGGCCGCGGCGTGCGGCCTGTGCTCTGCGGGATTTCGGTCGAGCTCCTCGTGGGGCCACGAAACCTGCGAACGTTGATCAGGAATGGTCGGGGAGGCGGCGCGCGGCCACGTCGCGTCGGCAGGGTTGCACATGGGGCCGCGAACTGCGCGATGGGCGCGCTAGACTAGTCGCGGCACTGGCGCGCGGTGCGCACCACTGGGACTTTCAAAAACAAATCGCTCGGGGACAACGAACAGCGCGCGGCGCGAAGGGCGCGCTGAAATTGCCGTGGCGCGGCCACAAAACGAAGACATACCACGCAATATAAAAGGGGATGGGAGATGAGGAAACGAAGCGGGAAAAAAAGAGCAGGAAGAGGAGGGGGAGAAGAGGAGAAGAGGAGAGGAGAGACAAACAGAAGGGATGAAGCGAAAAGCGCAAGCGAAGACCTGACGCGCAGGAGGGCCTGGAACAAACACGAAACAAATCGAGGGCCGCCCTCGACCAACGCGCGCGCGCCACGCGCGCGCCGGGCAAACCAGCGGCAGGCCAAGCACGCGAGGCGCAGCGTGCCGCACCGGGCACAGCACACGCACGAAGCAAAAATCACAAACGTACAAACCGCGTCAATCAGATAGCGGGATCACCTGCCAACGCGCGCGCGCACGATGCTGGCACCGCCACTCGCTACAAGGAGCCTCCAATCCGCGACGAACCATCGCGAGGCCTCCAAAGGCACCTCGTACTAACTGTTTCTGGACAGCGGTGTTGGTTCGGAACGGGGCCTGGCTCTGGAAGGCGAGCACGGACACGCAATTCCCTGGCTAGCAGCGGCAGCAGTGGGAGCTGCCGAGCTCGCGCGCGCTACAAACATCGACGGCGCGTGCGGACACGCTGGCATGCGTTGGTTCATCTCGCTTCTGCCAGTGCCCAACGAAGGGCTCAAAGTGTGCCCGTCCAGGGCCCGCCGCGGGCCACGGCCCTCGACGCCCTCCAATGGCGCGGCGGGTTCGGTCCCGATTGGTTGGTAAGCATTGAGTTCTTCCGGCGGATGCCCGCGCTGGCCCCGGCGGCCGAGGTCAGAGGTGGGCAAGCGCCTCCTCATCTCGAGAACCTTCGGCCGACTCGAGTCGCCGGCCCCTGCAGCCCTCGATCCGTTCCCTGGGATCGGCAGGCCTGAGCTGGATCGAGCCGCGAGATCGGATCTGGTCTGATCGGAAACGGATCACATCGCCAGCGAATCGCCCCGAATCGAATCGAAATCGGATCGCCACGCCTCGCTCTGGCTGGCCCTGGCCGGTGAAAGCGAATCGAACCGAATGGAATCGAATCGGGATCGCGGCCCCAGCCAGCGAAGCGAATCACATCGAATCGGAACGCAGGCGGCCCTGGATTGGGCTGTCATCCAGTGTTTGATTGACCGTCCTGTGGCTTGGACATGGCTCCTGGACGCCAGTTCACAGAAAACCAAAACGACTGATCCGTGCAAGTTTTGTCGAGTCACCACGAGGTCTTGGTCCTCCTCCTCCTCCTCCTCCTCCTCCTCCTCCTCCTCCTCCTACCACTCCTCCTCTTCCGCCTCCTCCTCCTCCTCCTCGCGCTCCATCACCTCCCTCACCTCCTCCTACGAGGTCTGGCGGAAGTGACCGGGCAAGCGCGAGGCATACGCACGATTCACAATGCCAATGCCCAAGCAACAAGTCCCGTTCTCGTGCGGGTACGACACCAGCACGCCCTTGTTGAGAGTCCCGAACCGTTTGGTGATATCCCAGGCCTCCAACGTGTTTTTGTGTCAAGGCCACTTATTTTCCATAACTCTGGCTTCCAGAGGCCCGCTTCAATCAAACACCTATTTTCTATTAGAAATTGAATCCCAAGAAGGGAGGCCACGTATCCCCCCCAAGAGGAAGCCAAAACGTCGGAAGACTACGGGGAAGCTAGAAGCACTCAGGGCAATAATAACAACGGACATAATGGTGATAGGGGAAATCGCATCGGCATTGGCTCGCACATGAATAAAACAGAAGGGGCCGAATCCCCGACCGCAAATTAGCCTGGCGAAAGGCCCAACCACATGCAGATGTGAGTACCGCAGTTGCGGGTATTGTATTTGGTGGAGCTGCCTATGGGCCACGAAGCGCTGCACTCGGCGGGGGAAACGCATGGTGACTTTGCCATTGGGGCCTTCGGTGGAGCTCCCTATGGGCCACGAAGAGCTGTACTGGGTGTGGGGACGCATGCGAACTTTGCCACTGGGGCCTTCGGTGGAGTTCCCTATGGGGCCACGAAGCGCTGCACTGGGCGGTGGAGACGCATGCGAGCTCCGCCACTGGGGCCTTCGCTGGGGCTCCCATGAGGGCACGAAACTTTGTACTGGGCGGGGGGGGGCGCATGCGAGCTCCCCCACTGAGACTTTCGGTTGAGCTCCCTTTCGGGCCACGAAACGCTGTATGGGCGGGGGAGACGCGTGCGAGTGCAGCCACTGGGGCCTTCGGCGGAGCTCCCGATGGGGCCACGAAACGCTGTACTGGGCGGGGAAGGCGCATGTAAGTGCAGCCACTGGGGCCTTCGGTGGAGCTCCCTGGGGGGGGGGCACGAAACGCTGCACTGGGTGGGGCAGACGCATGCGAGTGCAGCCACTGGGCCCTTTGGTGAAGCTCCTTATGGGGGCACGACGCGCTGTACTGGGTGGGGGGAGACGCCTGCGAATCCAGCCACTGGGGCCTTCGGTGGAGCTTCCCATGGGGCCACGAAGCGCTGTGCTGAGCGGGGAAGGCGCATGCGAGTGCAGCCACTGGGGCTATCGGCGGAGCTCCCTGTGGAGCCACGAAGCGTTGTACTGGGTGGGGGAGAGGCATGTTGATGAGGGCAGAGGCAAGGAGGAAGAGGGTGGAGGAGGGGGGAGGGAGGAGGAATGGGGTGAGGAACGCGGGGCGCTGACTCTTCAAAACGACAACCCAACACCACAATATCTTTGGGAGCAAATTCATCCGGCTATCCCTGGGGGGGGCTCCGTTCGGGCCGACGAGGAAACAGCACAAAAGACTGCCCGAAAGCAAATAAAACGAACGCGTTTGCATGGCCCACGGAGAGCGGCCCTCGGCGAACAAACAAAAAACACAATCGCGCGGTCTACACCAACTATGACAAAGTTTTGGCCGCGGTCACGGCCACCCCCCGCCCAAGCCGCAGACCACGAAACACAACAGGCCGACGCGAAATCAGCAAACAACGCTTTCAGTGGGGCACACAGGACGGGCTGCCCAGGCCGAAATTGGAAGCACAAGAGCATGGCCCAAACAATACAAAAATGCGAGCCGCGCTCGAACCAAAACGAACACAACATGAGGAGCTGGCCAATTCTGATTACATCACATGTATTGGTGTCGCCGCGCGGCGCTGCGCGAACATCAAACATATGGCATGGCCAACGTCATGTCGAACACTAACACCTGAAAACCACGTGTACCTCTCGCGTTCTAGGCCTCACCATGAGAATGCATGTTGTAAAACAATGAGCGGCGTAGTTCGCGCGCGTGCGAGCGAACGCGACACTCGTACGATAACGGACGGGGACTGTCGAACTTAATTTCGCAAGCTAAATGGTGAAAACCAATTGTGTCGCTCGCACTCTTGGCCTCAACCTGAGCTGATACACATTAACAACAAAGGATATTTGCACAATGATACCAACTAGTTATTTCCTGGCGCGGGCTTATTGGCGGATGGGGACCCCATCAATACGGGTAAATTAATCCTTCCCTCGCGGCGGCCACCGCTGATGATCGGGGTGGGGATGAGGATCCCTGATGGCGATGATGATGCCAATGATGCCAATGATGATGATGATGATGATGATGATGATGATGATGATTATGATGATGATGATGCTGATGATGATGAGGATGATGATGTCGATGATGATGATGATGCTGATGATGATGATGATGATGATGATGATGATGATGATGATGATGAGGGAAAGGACAAGGATGAGAAGGACGAATTTCACTGCCAGCCGAGAGCTTAGGGGGGGGCCTGGCTAGCATTCAAGACCATTCGCGGTTATCGGAGGTTGGGAGGTGAGGTCGCAGTGAAACGGAGATCCGCCCACAAGGAAATCTGTTTCGGTTTTCGTGTCGCTTGTGCGGACGAGGCTAAGCTGCGTGGGCGGGCGAAAGGAATAATCCCGACCTGGCCAGGGCGAAACCGGGCTCAATGTCTCCTCCTCCCAGTTGGCCGGCGGTGGCCTGGGGATGCCCCGCTGGTGTCCCGTGGTGTCCCGTGGCGAAGTGTCCCGCGGTGTCCCGTGGTGGCCCGTGGAGGCCGATAGTGATCGATAGTGAGATCGATTGGGTGAGATCGATAGTGAGACCGGTAGTGAGGTCGATAATGAAATCGATTGTATGATCGGAAGTGGGATCGACGGTCAGGTGAGGTCGGTAGATAGTGAGATCGCTCGATAGGGGGAGATCGATCATGGAACCGATACATTTTTTTCGTGGTGTCCCGTGGTGCCCTGTGGCCTTGTATGTTGCTCCGTGGTATCTCGCGGTGTCTCGTGTCGATAGGTCGATAGTGGGACTGGCGATAGCAGTGTTGCTGTGGTGGCATTCATTTGCCCGCGATGGCAGTGGTGACGCAATCACCGATTGATAGTGACACTGATAGACTGATAATGGGATCCATTGCGAGATCGATTAAAGGATCGTTGCGCAGACGGTGGGATCGATTGCGCGGTGGATAGTCATACCAATGGGTAATGAGACGGGTAGATAGACAGTCGGTCCCGATAGGCAGTATGCAGAAACATTCGACTCAGCAGTATCTTCAGGTGCTCCGTCCGATGGTGTGTTCGATGGTGTCCCAATGATGTCCCCGATGCTGCCCCAGTGGTGCCCCAGTGGCCTCACCAGCAATGTCATCACGCATCGTCGCCGACTCGTGAGAGCATCACCCGAATCGTCACCATCACCATCCTCGCACTTGCCAGCCGTTGCCTTCCCCCCCCATAACCTCCTCATCACCCGGGGGGGGGGGTCGCATAGGTAACATAACATACTCTCCGCATTGCGCGCGCGTGCGCGCGCGCCTTCGCGCGCGCCATGCGGAAACCAAAAGAAAATGACCAAGTCAACTTCGAAAACTGAGTGGCGGAAACCATATGTTTCACTCGCATTTGAAGGGCCCCAACATGGCATGATGTATTGTGACACAATGCTTGATCCGTATTTCGCACACGCGTGCGCAATACAAAATCAATAGATAATGGTCAGCGTAACTCCATAAGATGATTCGGGAGAGCACAATGGTTTGCCCGTATTTTGAGGGCCTCAAATGACACAACAGACGTTTCGTATTGCGCGCGCTCCCGCGTGAGCAAGGCAACAACCAATCGGGAATGACCAACGTAACCTCAAAACCCGAATGGCAAAAACCACATGTTGCACTTGCATTTCATGGGCAATGACATGGTATGATGTATTGTGGCATGACCAAACTTCTTCTTGCGCGTGCGCTCTTGCGGACACACACAAACAGTAGGGAATGGCCAACTTAACTTCGAAAACTAAATTGGGAAATCAGATTGTATTCTGGAACCCAACATGGCGTACACTATTGTCAGACAGCTCTTTGTTGCGCCCGCGCTCTCGGGTGCGCAATGCACAACTCCACAGAGAACGGCATACTTGAAAACAATGTGTCCCACTCGCGTTCTGAATGCTTCGACATGGTAGGATGCATTGTGACACACTGCATGTTTCTTGTTGCGCGCACTCCCGCATGAGCAAAGCAAGCATCAATCGGGAATTGTTAACCCGACTTCGAAGCGTGAATGATACAAACACATTGTTTCACTCGTACCCTAGCGGCCCAACATGACATGATGCACTGTGGCACAATATACGTCTACTCATTACGCGCGCAATGCAACAATCAATAGAGAATGGGCAGCTGTAGTTTGAGAACTGAATGGAATGGCGAACACTAATTGTATCCTGATGGCCCCCCCCCAAAAAAGCCAGCCGACCCAGTCGGCGCGTGTGAGAGGCACTTCGACGCGAGGCCAGCCCAACCTAAACTGAAGAACGCCAGCCTCGTTTGAATCGTCGCAAGGTAGATCGAACAAACAAGGGGGATCGAACAATGTCGTAATGACGTCGAAAAGAAGCCCTTCTTTTTGTCTTTTTATCCCGCAAGGGAAAAAGGAGTGGTCCCAGGAGGGGTCCCGGGAGTGGTCTCAGGAGGGGTCCCGGGGGGGGGGTCCCGGGAGGGGTCACGCGGGGTCGTGCCCCCTCCCCTAGCGGCTCCTCCTGTGGAGAATGGTTGCAGTGGGATGGGCTGCCTTGTGTCAAGTGACGTCAGGACCGATTCCCCCGCCTCGGCCCCGGCTCCTTCCCCACACCTGGCCCTTGCCCCGGGCCGCTGGCCCACCCGGCCCCGGCCCCAGCCACGGCCCTTGCCTCCGCCCCGGCCCCAGGCCCAGCCGCGACCGCGGTCTCGTCCCCACCTTTCCCCCTTGGCTTTCGCCTCCCGGACGCCCGCCCCCGAGGAGACAGGCGGCTCGCCTCCTCCTTTTCCTCCTCCTCCTCCTCCTCCGCGTCTTCTTCTTATGTTTCTGTTTTTCCTGCTTCTCTTTGTTCATATAATTACAACTACACTTAGTAGCTATCATTGTTTGTATTGTTGTTACCATTATTATTAGTAGTATGTTCTTATTCGTAGTACGATCAG